AAGGAATTTTTTTTGACCCCCCCCCCCCCCCCATCATTATAAATGTTATTTTTTTAAGACCAAAGAAAATATTTCTACTGCCCTCGAGGGATTATTTTTTAGTAAGAAAATAGTACCTACTGGTATATAAAGTATTATTATATTATTGTAAGGTATTAACATTTAAGTCAATAACGACGGATAGCCGTTAGTTACTGTTGAACGGTGTGAACTGGTTTGTGGTATTAGTATAAATTAGACAAAACATTTGGAAAATAGCATTGTGCGTATGTAAAAGAATAATTTAACGGCCAGATATTGTGCTTACGGTCTACGGATCATAGTTTTTAAATTACAACACAATACCTACTTATCACGAAATAATAAGACCCGATTACCAACCAGCTCGAATACGTCATGGCCCCCTTGTTCGTTGTAGTGAGGGAAAATTCTATAAATCATAAGTTGTTGCTGTTGTCCATGTCGCGCAGAACTGATATATTTCGTTTTTGACAGACTGGATATAGATAATATTATAATGTATATAATATTTTGTTTTTGTTCTTAATTAAGATCGTCGACAAAGACCATTAATGACAATTTTCTTTTTTGTTAATTTAGGTATTTGAGTATTGCATCTAGGGTATTGGGTATGTTGAGGCTGCTAAATACTTCCAGTATTGGAAGCATTCTGTAATTATGTGGTTCAGGGGCGCCCGCATAAAATCAGCTCAGTGGGTGCTAAAAGTTAAATTTATGTGATACATATTACATAGGTAGTCACATATTTGCATTATTACACACTGATTTTTTGGTTCATTAAAAAAATCCCAGTGTTTGCAATGCCATGTCACCCACTGGCCCCCCTCTCTACGGACGCCCCTGATGTTTATGTATGATCTGACTAAGAGTTCTACGAAAATTGCACCTTGGTTTTTCTTCCTTTTCCATGAAGAATCCGTGCTTAAGACGTGTGTGGCTAATGTGGAGTCTGTTGACAATACTAAATTACTTTATCTTTTCTGTTTAGAGAGAGGTTAGACCAGCAGAAACCAATGTTTTTGATTTTTCTTAATTTAGTGTTTTACTTAAAATGAATGTTTATGTTAGCATTTTCTACAGACCATACAATTTTCAGAATATTTTGACTTGTTTTGAGCTATTATTGACGGATATTTTCAGTTTCCATTTTTTTTCGTTTTTTTTTTATAAATGTCAATAAAATTGTATTTGTTGGGTAAAAAAAGCTTGAAATTTTATAAGGTTCCTAATGTATTGTTACAACGGCAGTTGAAAAATATTGAAAACACATAATCACAATATTTTTTTTATTATCATTTAAAGTTCAAATTTTGGCACAGTACGTAAAAATATAGTATAAAAATAAGCACATTATTTTCAGTTAGAAATTCATAAAAAAATTTCTTTCTAAATCTAAGATTTTAAAAACTAGTGATTTTATATCATTAAATTCAAACTTAACACCATCCATTACAGAACCCACGCCTTGTAACCTATACTGTACAGCATGCAGAGTGCCAGAGTGACATCCATCACTTACTCGCTTTTTTTGATAATAAACGTCCTCTTTACGAAGAGCTTAGCTCGTGAAACGTGGTTGAGGGAACCTATTGTTACGACATTAGTTATCTAGAGAAGATATTATTATCCCATTCCTTATATGGATAAGTTTTCCGCAGCTGCAGGCGATTAGAGCACTGCGTATGAGGTTTTTATCAGTAATAAATACACACGTTTGGTTAATAAATCTATGATAAATGATAATCTTTGAAAATAGCTGTTATTTGTTAATAATAGTGTATAATATTGAAGTTCATTCTTGTTGATAGTTACTGTCGAACTAACTGCCATGTGTCATTTTAATAATAAGTATTCAGTAATAATTTGATGTACAAAGTTAAAATAACCGCAAGTGAAAGATAATAAAAAAACCTTTATTAGGTGTTGTAAAAAAACATATCTAAATACTTGGACACCTACGTTTACGTGGCAATGCTAACAATGTACTTAATAGGTTAGTCCTAAAATTATTAAACTAATTGGGTTGTATATAGGTAAACAATAACAAGATATCAAGATATCCATCGAGTTTGTCCTCGTTCATGCCTACAGACGGGCTGTGAACTTTTGAGCACATTGACCCAAAAATCCATCACGTTTGGATAAAAATAGACATAACGTTTGGACACATAGAATACAATGTATTTGGGAACATGACCATAATTTTCACTTTAAAATTAGAGAACGGTCGGCCGTTTGGGTACAATAAAATTAACGTATACATAATATATACACTTCATGTTATCGACTATAGGTAATCTTTATTAGGTACATAATACATTTACTTAATTATTATAATAAATACATAACAATTTATAAAAATTCATTATTTTTAGGATGTCGAAAATAGAATTTGTGGAACAAATTCAGCTTAGTTCCTCCATTTTTAATTTTTTTCAACCAAACATATGTAAATTTTCAAGTTGAGAACAATGGTGCAGTCAGAATTTGTCGCTCAGATTTAGTTTCGATGTTATGGCCTTTGGGATTGAGCAATTTTGCTACTATAGTACCTTAATGTACCTATACCTATACTTGTTACCATAAATTCGATATAAATGTAGTTTAGCTTATTACAATTTCGTCAATTTGATTTTTTATATCGAAACTTATGTGAGTCGATGAATTAAGGACGATGGTGCAATCAAAATTGGTCTCTCGGACTTACTTTTGAAGTTATAGAATTCCGAAGTTTGCAATTTTACTTTTACACGTACGCGCTGAGCACTACATTAATCTCAAGTTTGGCGACTGGTGGCGTCAGGCGAAGGGAGTCACTATATATTTAAATTACTCTAACTGACCTAACCTCGAGTTTGGTGACTGGAGCCAGTAGGCGAAGGGCACCATTTTAATATGGTTATATATTACTTTAACAGGCAAAGTTACAATATACTCATTGACTTATTGTCTACCTGAATATAATTGCAAAACAAATAAATATAGGTAGCATTATGGCTTATTCTATTATCATAAAGATACTATAGTAGTATTGCTTGATGGTCAGTTAAAGTAATTTAAGTATATAGTGACTCCCTTCACCGGACGCCACCAGTCGCCGAACTTGAGATTAATGTAGTGCTCCGCGCGTACGTGTAAACGTAAAATCGCAAACTTCGAAATTCTATAACTTCAGAAGTTAGTCCGAGAGACCAATTTTGATTGCACCATCGTCCTTAACTCGCTGACTCACATAAGTTTCGGTATAAAAAATTTAATTGACGAAATTATAATAAGCTAAACTACATTTATATCGAATTTATAGTAACTAGTATGTAGGCACAGTAAGGTACTATAGTAGTTGTACTATTATAACTTCATGGCTATTGGCTATATCTTAATTCTTAAGTATAATATTTTAACAGAATTAATTAATTACAACCAATCAAAATAACCAGATTAAAATAATATTATTTTAAATAATCATAATATCTAATTAAATATAATATTCGGTGTACCTATAGTATAATATTGTCGTATTTAGGCGTATTTAAGTACTATAGTCTATAACCAAATTATACACATCAGTTTAAAAAAATAGAAATGACTATTTTAATCGTATGACGCCATCTATACGCATTTATAGATCAGAAGCTAACAGTATAACCACTGTTGCTGTTATCAAAATAATTAATATAAATGTTGGTTAGTTAATTTAGTAACGCAAGAAAAAGACAAAAAATTTTGAATAAATTCAGAGAAAAAATTTAATTCCACGATTGACATGAAGTTGATCAATTATTTACATACTATTGTATTTATATTAAAATAAAATAATCACTGAACAATATATTAAATATTTTTTAAGTTTAAGAGATGTTTTTCGTTTCTCTCAAAAACTTGTAAATATGGAGTTGAGTGATTTGCGAATTAGGCCCACGTATTATTATATACCACGAGATAAAGAATATAAATATTATTTATAATACATAATAATAAATTATGTTTAGATTGGGTTGCTCGACCTGGTGATACGTCGTGTGATAACGGCAAGTCGCGCAGTGACCAATAGATTCAATATACCTTAAATAATAGTAATAGATATTATAAAAGGGGTTCACAACTACTCACCGTGTCGTGCCATGTTCCGCATTTTTATACATTGGTAACAAAACATTGGTCACACGTTACCTACAAATTGAATATTAATAAAGGTGGATTCATAGTACCTCTCGTGTCCGTGTAGTGTTCCGTATATTTAATACGTAGGTAACAAAATGTTGGTCACACATTACCTACCAACAAGTTAAATATATTCAATTCTACACTACACAACGAGGTATGAATCCACCTTTATAGTGGGTAATCACGTATCAGTCATCACGGTATATTTTAGATTTCTTCTTTTATTTTAGTGTCTAATAATAGACACTGGCTATTCACTCTATTCCATCATAATATTGTTCTTCTGTGATTCTATAGACCTTATACTTGCATATAAATATTAGCCATAAGAATAACTTATTATAGTAAATGGTATTGTGTTATCTACGACTACACAGTAGGACAGGTATATAATATTTTGATGGTAATCACCTACAATCACGATTAAAGTTATACATTTATACCACAATTTTAAAGATAATAATAATAATAGTGCTTGAACCAGTAAATATAATGGTACAAATATGTATATCTCCACAAGTTACATAACGTTAGATTTGTTAGAACAATCACAGCATTATTAATTAGTTTAGTTTGTGGAACAACTGGCCGTGGCCCGCGCGGCTAATCACCTATCACCATTTGGCATTTACCAATCACGTCGAGTTATCGTTGGCCAGCTCGCGCGAGTCCGTTCCGTTAGAGGGGGTGGGGAAGAATAGTAAAATTAAATGTGTAAAATAAACGGTGGTAGGAGAACACGGTGCGTTTTCATTTTCCATCGCACTCGTACGCAAACTCCCGACGGCCGCGACTCCTTCTATCCCCCGTCACTCTTTCCTGCGCCGCGCGCCGCCGCTGCGTCCCATTTCATGAAAAGATTTCCAACACGGTTGTTGAAACGTCAGCGTTGAGGCCAACCGCAGCGCTGCTGTAGCTCGCCGCCCGTCGAGTCCGCTCTCGCTCGCTGTTTTACCCGTGTTCGTTTTCGTGATGTTTTATCGTCTTCTTCATTACCACTATTGGTCGTAGGTACTCTATAATAATAATATATTATTATTATTATTATTATTATCATCATCATCATCATCGGACTACCTTCTACTTCGATCTTTATTTTCTTTTTTCACCCCGTCACGTCGACGTTGTCGCAAACAGTGCGTCCTTGTGTTCTCTTGTGTCGTTTTTGTGTTCCGATTTCCGATGGCGCACGTCAACGTCAATATCACATTTGGCGACGACGACGACAATTAATTTCGTCCACGACGCGGTGGTGCTGTTCAACTTCAACGCCGATTGTCCGCTGTCCTTTCGCGACGACAACGCCCGGCTGCAGTCCGGCGATCTTCCGCGATATTCCTCCCCAGAACTCAAGACGGATACTATAGGCACTATACACTTGTTACACATAGTTTTATACCTAACTACCACCCCGCACAACAACTACAACATGTTTAGCTATAAACATTCTTAATATCTGGTCTCCGCGGTGCTCGGTTGCAACTCGGACGGCCGCAAGTCCTCCATTTCGTTGTTTTGAACATTGTTCTTTATTTCGTTTTTCATTCGTCCCTTCATTTTTAAAAATTTTTTATCGTAGGTACATGTACGAATATAACGAATATCTACTCCTAGATAATTTTTGCTCGTTACAAATTCAAATAAAATATTAACAACACAAATATCAATAAATAAAAATCATAAAAATGGGCAACCATAACAGTTTCAATTTAAATCACAAGGAACAATTGCACTCTGCCAGGATTAATTCACTCAACAAGGACCCAACGCTCGGCATGTTACCAATGGAGAAACTTGGAAAGGTATTCCATTTTTGTTTTATTCTCATACCTGCCTGTTGTTTAATATAATATAAAGTAACTTCCTAGTTAGGTTGTTTGTTTGATAATATGTGACTCATTCATTTTTGTAATACTTATCAAACATTATATTTATATCCATATAGGTAGGTAGGTATCTCGATATTCGTTATTTATATTTTATTCAATAAACCTATTATAGATAAATTCAATCCTATTTACTTCTAAATTTACTAGTCTCTAACGGATGAAAATTGATTAGTTAGGTAGGTTGTGTAATCTTATTTTGAACATAAAAAATGTAGATATTCTAAAACCATTAGAAATTATTATAGAGATGATTAATTAGTCACAATTCTTGGTTAGTACTATGATTCAAAGAGCCGATTTATACCATAGCCAAAGCTAGTTTTATATACGTACACCTAGTTTTTAACTAAATATTTACTGATTTTGTGCTACTAAACTTAAAAAGAACCAGAATAGTGTATTTTATGAATACCTAGTTATGATTTTTTTTTTTATGTTATCAACATAACTATTGTATGTTGGTAATTTTAAAAACCATAACCATTTATTTCATAGACTTTTAGTTTTTACAACTTGAGTAGTCATTCAAAATAGTATTTACCGAGGTATTTACCAACCTAAAATATTAGTTTGTTACCGTATTATTGGGAGCTATTAATTTCTTTTTTAAGTGAAAAAAGGTTTGGTTTTCATTTATGCCAAATCTAGGTATACCCTAGGTACTTCGTACCGTTTTCATAAATTCACAGGTACCTACAAGTAAGATTTTTAATTTTATACTTATTGCAGTTGACTTGTTACCTAATTGTTTAGTTTTGAATAATTTATTTTTTCGGTTTTTGGATGTTTAATGTAGAACTGTTCATGTGTAGTACAGGCATAACCATGCCTGTTTAGCCAATTATTGGTTATTATTTAATTGATTTTTGTTGGTTTTTTCCTCAGTTTTTTCTGAATTTATATTTACATTATGTTCTTATGCTGAACCCTTTAGTTGCTACTTACTTTTTAAATACTTAACATTTGGCTTATTAAATTTAAAATAATATTTTTAACTATCAAGGTTAAAAAATATAAAAAGTATGTTATTAGTTCGGCTAATACCTTATAAATGTAGATTGACAATAATAATTTTTAACTACATTGATAAAAAAAGAAAAATGAAAAATATTAGGTATCTCCAGTCCAGTTTAATTAAGTACTGAATGTTTTTACTTTGACCTCAATTCCAGTTAAACACAAATTGTGACACAAACTATATATCAACAATTGAATATGAAAACTACAGTGAAATACTTATTATTTGAAAACCATTAATTCTGAAATTGTTTAAATTCTCTATGTATTTTATATTTTGAGACTTAGGTTTTAAGTTATATTATTATCAAATAAAAGCTTAGTGAAATTTTCTAGTATGATTTTGGGTTGTAATGATTATGCTTTATACAGTTTTATAATACTTGTACTCACCAAATAGACCATTAGGAAATGTGTCTATTTATTTCATACTTGTAAGTATGTAAAATATATTTTAGCCTATAAGATTGTTGTATAATATTTCATTTATACTAATTTGGGTACCTTGAATGTTTTTCTTTTTTCTTTTAGTTATTGATTCAAAAGAGTTTAGAAGAAGATTCAATTAATGGCATAGGCTGTGGTGTATTTAAGGTACTTATCAAGTTTATTAAATGTATTAGATAATCATTAATATAATTCAAATTTTTTTTTACAACTATAAGTACAATTATTACTCTTAGGTACCATATGTTTTATTTTAATTATGGATGTTTAAATATTTTTTTAAGCGATACTTGTTTCCACAATATCCTGAAATGGCTCGTAAACTTTTTGCATTTCTGGTAACTTCATCTGGTGGTCCTGCTTCTTCCCATGTAATTAGTTATACAAACTTTAAAGCCCAAACTGAACGTTTGCTGAGTGTTTTGGCTGATGACCGCCAAGTATTGATGTACGTCATGGTGAGCGAGTCTTAATAATTTTATACTTGTAATTGGTTGATAATAATTAAATTAATAATTCATCTCATTGAAATATTAAAATTATTGTAGGTACTAAAAAAATAATACAATTTAACTGTTTAAATACAGGATGTCTTTCGAAGATTTACCCATTACAATATCTCTCGAGATAATAAATACCTATACCATAAATCTGTTTTTTTTTTTATTAGACTCACAGAGACAAGGACCTTTTGTTGGTAAAAAGTTACTTTTTTAACAATTGAAGATTTCAATTTTGTAGTTTATTTTTTTGAAAATTTTGACCTATCAACGTTTTATTTTCATTACTTTTATGATTTTTAATCATTTTTTTAGTTTATAGGTAAAACCGGTTTCTGTCTGGGCTCCAAGTCCCCCTTTACGGTTAATGGGTATATCCCCACAAGACATCTTGTATAACAACAAAATGTATTATTTTATTGCAATATTAACTTACATTTTATGTGAATAATAAGCGATAACATAAATAAAAAATATAATTATGTAAATATTTTAAAAAAATTGGTCCAATTAATAATTTATTAAATTAATAAGTTATTTTTAATCGTATTTTGTCAAACAATTAATAATGCCAGTGTTTTAGATTTTGTTTATGAGTACTTTGTATGATTTAATTTCTTAATACATTAATACATTATTATAGGTACATTATTCCTACACTATACAACGTTAGGTTTAAATTGAACTCAACATTTCTAAGGATGATAATCCACTTAACGCAATGGTTCCCAAACTTTTTCATGGTACAGCAGATTACATATCATTTTGGTGTTCTCTTTCGTTAACTTTTAGTCTGACAGCGTCATGATGATACAATTCTAGTGCACTTGTAATCGTCACGGATCAATAATAAGACTAAATTTAAACATCAATATAAAATATTTGTAGTTACACGGAAAATACTGTTTACTGTGAAAGCATAAAAATATTTCAAAACATAACTCCACTAACGGTTTGGTACCTCTGATTTAATCGCGGATTTAATGAATACATCCACTAAAGTTCTAAGTCGATTGTTTTTATTTAGTTAGGAGTTTTTATAACATTAACACTTCATTTTTGGTCTGTATATAGCTCATGGGTCTATTAAAAGTTACCTACTTTAGTTTTAGTTCTTAATGTCATCTTAACTAGGATACTTAGTTGACTATGGTTTACGAAACAGATATTCTAATTTGCATTTGTGTTTGTGCCAATTTAAGATAAAACTGAGTTTAGCCTTTGGTTTTTTTTGTTTATTTTAATTTATCAGCCAAGCCAATCATAAACCATTACAATAAGTGGCAATGTAGTCTACAGTGTTGAATCATCATAATTTAAATCATCATACTATCTCAATTGTGGCATTAGGATCTCATAAAAATATTAGTCATTGATATTAATTTCTAAACTAAAATCTAATTTTTGGTTTTTATTTTTTGTACTTTTATATTTTAAATTACTTACAAATAAATACTGTTAATAGATAATCGCCCTTGCCAATTTCAAATCTATTGGTTTTAACCTCTGTATGCTTTGTTCAGTTTGTCGATGATGAATGATAATGAATGATTCATTACTACCAATACCATAGAATTTTTTTTTCTAATTGAACTCTATAGAAAACTGATAATTCCAACTATCATAGTATATTGGATTTATTTTTGTTACTATCACGTTATAATTGAATGATTTATATCTATAGTATTTGTGCCGACAAGTTAATATGCTAAAACGGTCATATAATATGTAATAGGTTTAATACATAATGCATTAGCTCATAGGCCTTAATCTTTATTTTATTAGGTATTTAAAGAAAATAATTTAATACCTTATGATATAATATATATCAGTGTATTTATAAACATTTCTATAATTTAGTGTATTTTATTTATATAAAAATGACAGACATGTTGTTTAAAGATATTTTCTTATACTTTTAAATATTACAAAATTTATTGTTACTTCTTATGTATTATATATTTGTTATTTGATCCGTAATAATTAAACAGATATATTCAATTTATTGCTGTATTAAAATATGATTATTATTGAATGGATTTCACATCTAAATTTATTAAAAATATAAATTATTGCTTATAAAGTTTATTTATTTAATATAATAGTGAAAGTTAATTTAAATGATGTAATTTTAAATCTGAGCTGAAGATACTAAGGTACATAAAATACAAAAAATTATAAAAATTAGTTTTTGTTCACATTGGACAATTATTCGAACATATTTTTGAACTTATTTAATTAATATATAATACAATCTGTCTAATAACAGTGCAATTTCTTTATTTAAAATTATTACAAACATTGTTAGTGTTCATAATTTTCACCCTTTTTTGTTATTGTTTTGATTATAATATTTAATGTAGCAGATGTATTATAATTTATAATTTATAAATTATTTATAAAGATATATCTGGACTTTAGTCTTATACTATTTAAGATAAGCTATGGAATGTTTATTATTAGTTAATGGGTCCTATGTTCTGATCAAAAAGTTATAATCGGTAATTTTATAGTGATTGTTAAGTTAGCTAACTACTTTATAACTCATATAATCAATATATTTGAATTTATTCATTCAATAAAAAGGTAAATTTCTAATTATATTTCTATCGGGGATATTATCAAATAATTAGTTAAAAAAATGTTTGTATTTAAAATTGTGTTAATGTATCTATAAACAAATCTGATCATTTGATTTAATATCTAGATGCTATTGATATTCATTGAGGAATAATACCTACCGATGTGATTTCTAACACTAGATATTCTGTTAAGAGTGAAGGTTTTGTTTACAAATTAAAAATTATACAATACACCTACTTGATAAATATTTGTTTGTAAATTGATAGGTACATAGTAATATGTGTAAATAATATCCGTGGTTTTTAAAATGTAATTCAATAATATAACTTCATTATATCAAAACAAGTCTCTTGTACATTTTTTCTTTTCAAATTTAATCCTAGTTCCAAATTAAAAAATAAAATGAGCAATAATATTTCATCTTATAAAATCTTGCTTAGATGATGGACCTAAGTGTGGTTATGATTATATGATTGTTGTGCAAGTTTTTGGTTTTGTATTTGTATTTTCTTTCATTGTTATTTGTTATATAAATAATTATGATCAATTATCATTATAATTATTACAAATTGCATATTTAGAATTTAAATGGGTAGTTATCTAAACCAGAAACACTTTTTTTCAGTTTGGATTTTAAATATGTGTGGAATCCATGTTTCACACAGCTGTATGATGTTATAAAACTAACTTTTTGTTTAGGCTCAGTACCATAACAATAAATAATTTAATTTTATAAAATTATCAATATATATTCATATGGCAAAGAAAATTGGGCATATAATTATAATATATAAATGTTTACTATGTTTGTAATTTGATAAATTCTTTTTAATTTATGGCATATATTTTATATGGTATACATTTTTATATGACTCCCAATCTGCAAAGAATATTCTTTCTTTACTATTACTGATTGTTAGATGTATGCTGATGGAAAAGAAGAAATTGATCAAGACCAATTTCGAGATCTACTCATAGCTGTTTATAAACTTGCTATGGATCATTATCCTGAAGGGCCTCAGTCATGTCGTTATATATTTAAGACTATTCAATCCGTTGTTGATTCTGCAGTGAGTTATTTTGCTTAATTTAATGTATGCATGTTAATATTAGTTGATTTTTAGTTTCATAAAAAATTAACTCTAAAAGTGGGCTACTTGACCAATTGGATACTTCAACATTGTCCACGGTTAATTGTCCTACTTCATCGGTATATTGTCCACATCTTATCCACTGGTTACAGATCCGTTATTGAAAAGTGCCCATATTCCAAACCTAATGTAAGTATATATTGATATTTAAATAAATATAATTGATTTCTATGCAGGGAAAACAATTTAATAATTTTGAATATGATTCTATTTTGTTATTACCTCATTAGGAAAACGAACCTAATGTGAGTAAATTTTACTGAACTGATTGTGATTTAATTAAGTATTAATTGATTTTATTAAATTGTAGGATCTCGAATTGACAACACCAGTTTTAGAACAAGAAAACCTGTTCAAAACCGAAAAAAACCCATTATTGCCATTGTCTCAAGTGTGGATATTATCTACAACATTACCTGCATTATATACTCAACCAATTTTGCATTCCAAACCAACACCAAATTGTTTCAACACTCAAAACTTCTTATCAAAATTTGTAAGTTTTTAATTAATATTTAACTTTATTCTTGGGGGACTATTTTCTTGATTCAAAATGAATAGTATAACAAGTAAATTCTCTGACATTTTTAATCCTTATTTAAATATACAATGATCTGAACATAAAGTTATAATAAAATGTAAAAAATATTAATAGTAGTAAATTAATTTATTACTAATATTAGCATAGTATTATATTTTACTATCACTTTGCCTTGCCATAATTCACACATACTGTACATTCAAATTTTCCCAATGATTTAAATTCTTGTTGTTTTTCATAAAATTGTCAAATAAAATAAATTTTAATAAATAAATTCAATAAACATTTTAAAATTCAAAGCGAATACCAAATAATGAATAAATTTAGATACTGGTTTAAGTTAACATTATCATTTAATATTCATTTTTTGTTTTAATAATTTTATCTGAGCACATCAATTATATTATATTACACTATATTATTAATTTTCTTATGCAAAATATTATATTCAATCACATCTGATGATTGAAAATATAAATACCTGTTTTCATTAACCAATAATATGGTATTAAAAACTCATGTCTTAAAAAAAATGTTATCCTTTTTATTACTTCAAGGAGTTTAAATGCTTTTGTTTGAATATATTTTTACTTTAAGAAGTGTGAATACTTTGTAATTGTGTGAAAGTAGTTATTCAATTTCACCATATATTTACTATTAACCGGTTGAATATTGAATCTGAAATAATATACGTAACATTTTATATTCAAACAAAGATAGTTGGTAGCCCTACTTTTTAAAACCAGTTTTAGTAACTGTAAAAATTTGAAGAAAATAATTCAATTATTTTGCCTTCATTACTAATTTAACTGTTTGGTCGGTTTAACTTACATTATGTATGTTAAATTTGCAAATAATATTATATAAACTTAAATTGATTTATTTAATCTTTGCATGATAATATATTGTATGCAAGTGTGCTATATTATTGTGACCATAACAATTTTGTTAAATGGTCAAATATTTTTTTTATATATTTTATGGTGGAAATCATATTTATTTGTTTAATTTTAAAACAATTTATAAGTTATTCTTAATACAATTTCATATTAAGGTTTATTACTTTATCGTTTCCATGGATATTTATAAATACAAGTTAAATACCATTATGATTTTTAATCTTTAAATATTGTTTATATATAATAATGTACTTCGCGATAATATAACATCTTTATCGTTTGCTTCAATACTTTTTCTTATTTTTATTATTTAAAAAGGAAAAATTATTTCAAATGGTCAAGTTATTCGATTTTGAATTTTTAGATTCTGATTGGAGCAAATGAAATAAAATGGTTTTACAAAACGTTCAGATTTTTTTTTTCGTTGAGTAGTATAATTGCTTCAATATTCAACCCTTGATAGTTGTTATTGGTAGCAAATTGAAACTAGTTGAAAAAAAAATTAGGCGATAACTGGAATATTTACCCTAAACCAGATCTTGGTGAAATTGATTTGGTCATTTGGTTGTAATTCATTTAAAAATAAATAAATGATTACTTGAAATCTTTACTAAGTATTTATACATATGATTTTCTAGGCATGATATTATTATTTTGGATCTTTTTGAGCTATTTATTAACATTTTAAATTGTTTACTTGTTTAGATTCAACATTTTTTTAACCAAAAGGCTTGATATAAAAATTGAACGCAAGTTTCCTCATTAGTTTTTTTTTTTTAAGAAAATTAAAAATTTTGACTAAATTAGATATTTAAACAAAAATAGTATACTTTTTAATAGGACAGTTTTTGTATTATTCAATTAATACTTATTATTACCACTTAAGTTTAATTTAGAATTTATTTTTTTGAGTTTTTTGTTAAGATCACAGCCCACAAGTAAAGTAATTGTGTACTACATGAAAAATATTAAGTTGAAGACTACAGTCTACTGTTAAAAAATAATTTATCCAATATAATTTACTGAAAAATATCTTATGAGGATGCTACACCTGCATGTGTTGTCTCAGTCGTATGTACAACTGCCAAATTGTACGTTCACGATAATGCATGGTACACTGTAAATTCTAAAATTGTAGTGTATTTGAGTAAAATTGAAAGGTAAGGTTCAGAGGCGTACCTAGACATTTTTTCGGGGGGGGTCTATCTCCAGACCTAGCCTAATCAAGCTCCACATATATATTATATTATGGTCAACTTTTATTACTAATTATTTTTATTTTTTGGGAGGGGCAGAGGGGGTTGACCCCCCCCCCAATAAGCATGCCCCCCGTAAGGTTATTATCTAAATTCTAGGGCATCTCAAGACTTTAATTGATATTTTTATTAAGAAAAAAGTTATGATCTTTTTGAAACTATACATTTTAAAATGATTATAACTTACTTAAAAATAATAATATCAATAAAATCCTTCGAGATGCTCTTGATAATAATCTTAACCTTACGTTTTATCATGGATCAATTCACTCTAATTTTCATAATTTACAGAGTAAAATGTATTATTATTTATCAAACTTAGGTAGGTTGCATAAAGAATAGTCTGTGAAATTGTTAACGGCCCTGTAATTTATTCATTCTATCAAGTTAGTGATTGTGTTACACTATGTTAGTTTTACATAAAAAATATTAAATTATTGATAACTGTGTTTACCAAATAAATTAAACCACCAATAACATTGATAACGTCTATGATATTTTATTAACCTGTAAGTTACTGATCCAAAATCCAATCTGTAGTTTACAGCTTTGTAATCGATAATTTAAAGAACCATTAACTGCTATAATAATGGTTCCATCACTAAAGGGCATTTATGCAAGAAAATGGACAAGAAAATTATCCATGTTATTTTTTTTTACTTTTGTAATTTTTAAACAAATTATAATCTTTTTTATTCAGTAATATTTTACATACTTATAAATCGTTTAAAAATTCAAATATTGTAGAAAAGCCAAAGTACACACTTATGTCTATGCCATATGTTTTATAATAGGTTAATTCGCGTTAATATTAAAGCTAACAACTCAAAATTGGTTCTGCTGAACCCAAAACATGAATTGGCCGTCCATTCTTAAGTCAGCTATAGTAATATTATATGGTATCTACAGTTTTCAAAACTATAAAAATTTTCAATTAACCCCTGAACAATATTCAATTCAAAGATTTTAGTGTTCGTCCCGTGAATTATTTATCAATCGTATTTCGTAATAATACGTACAAATGTACAATATACATGTACCTACGTATTTACTCTTAGTATTCTTAGACGATCTTTTTTTGTAACTACCTATGTGTAAAAAAAATAATATGACCGTAAACAATTCTTCAACTTTATATTTAAAATAAATATATATTTTTCAAATAAAGAAACGTAATATCAGCCAGTTATAAATGTGACCATGATACTATTGAGCGGTTAAGGTCAATGTCGATTGGCCTTGATAAGTAAATGTATTAAAATCATACATAAATGATTTTCAATTTATTTAGTAAATTATGTAGTGTCAATAGCTAGCAGATAGGTAATATAGAAACATTTTTCAGCTAGGAAGTAGCCAGTAGGTTGACAAAGAACGCATAATAATACAAATTAACGAAACTATTATAGTTATTTAATATTAATGATTATCAGTCTATAATTAGATAGTCAGCAAAGAAACACACTTTTTAACGTACAAATATTGTAGAAAATGTCATATAACGTTTACAGCCGTTTATTTGTTGTTGTTTTTAGTTCTCAAATAATGTTAAGATTAAACCAGTAAGTTTTTAGTTGAAAATCTATAACGATATTATGTTTCATTATCGTCAGTTATCTTAAATAAAATACAGATGTTTATATTTTTCAATAGGTATGTATGATTACACTTATACACGTGCTACTGAAAATTTTTTACTTTATTAATTTAAACTTAATTTAATATCAACACATATTGCAATCCTGCACCGAAGAGTTCATAATATCTACCATGGAGCATGGTCTTTGTTATCTGTCGGTTTTTTTTTTATGTATTATAATAGAATCAAACAAATTGATATAGTTAGCTAACCGTACATTATTCTAACTACATTTAAAAACATGAGGGCTGGGAATACGCATATTTTTAAGAACATTTTGACGATTTTGCTACCTGATAAGTTTCAAGTTAAGAATTTAATATTTATTTTGGCACTTATTAACGGTCCAATAACTGTAATTTCGGTCGCGAAGTGTTGTACTTAAATACTTAGCAACGATTTATTTATAAATAGCTTATTTTACCTAAACACGCACGTGTATAAAAACAACAACTTGGTTACGACTATTTTTACATTTTACATACCTGTTTAATGTAAGTTGTATCTATTAGTAAATATATATTTTTCACAATTACTGACCGTATTGTTCTGTTTTGTTTTTTTACTGTTTTTAATGGATCTCGATTAATGTAAACGTGTCTTGTGACCGAGAACAATATTAAAAGTGAAAACGTAATACATAAGATATAGAGGGTGTGGCTAAGTAGTCATGTTGGTTTTGCCAATTAAATGTTCGTATTATTATTATTATTATTATTATTATTATTATTATTATTTTATTAGATGTATATATTGTACGTTTTTCTCCTCTTTTTATTCGTTTGATTGTAATGGTGGAATGTGTGAAGTTGAGGACGCGAATAGACGATTGTAGCTTTATAAATAAACAAAGGAACAAATAACGAAGACATTTCGCCCAATGTGGGTCATCCGTGTATTCTATTGTGTTCGTTAGAAGTTACTACGAAGCTTATAGGTACGTAGTAGTGTAGTACGTACACACATGAATCAGCATATTTACCTATTTCAAGGCGACTTGAGTAATTATTATCAGATAAGCATATGTATCAATTAAAAAGTATTTTGAGAGTAGATTACAATTCGAGAGATATCTTCTGTAGTTGTTTAGTGTTTACATTTCACTCCAATTTCATCATACACTAGAATATTATTTCATGTAGCTGACAAAAATAAGTTTTTTGATAATGATTAATATATCATCCAATACTGAATTATAACACATTTTCTCTTGAATATATTTTTACAGTACAATTCAAGATCGTATGGTGCTAATTGAGTGTGGAAAAAAAACAAAAGTAAATTTAAAACAGTCTGAATAATTGTTTAATGGGTTTTTTTTAATTGGCATTGCAGAAGTATAAAATGCTAGTTACAGGCTAAAGCTCCAGTAGGTGTAGAACTGTAAAAACGGCATTAATTTAATGAGAGTGCATGAATTGTATAGGATCACTACTCTATGTACCTAATATCATTCATCATTAATAGCATAACTAATAATAATAATAAATTGAATGAAGTGTGTGTAATTATTAGCTAGGCAGTTGTAGGCAATAATGGGTAATTATTATTAAATTGGTAATAGAAAACAAGCTGAAAGCATCCGAGCTTTTATGTTTTATATTTCTATTACAGTTGGACTTTTCTTGTCCATCACATTGGACACTATTGTACAACAGCAATCAACACGGTATCGGAAGTAATAGGTAATTATTTCCAAGCAAACTATTATGAATATTTTATTCCTGTTTCAAAATTTATCTGTTTTTTGCATTGTGCTTTACATACAACGTTAAAATATGACGTTTATGTGCGGCTCTTAAAAATTAATTTAGAAATATAATCTTTTTTTTATAGGTTTTTACACCATGTGCTGAGTTATCGAGGACCAACGTTAACGTTCTTGCGAGGTGATGAAGGCGTCTTATTTTGCATGGGAGGTACTTCCGAATGGCGGGAGTCACACCAATACTGGGGTGGCGACGACACCATACTTTTGCAATTATTACCCAATTACAAAGTAATCAACCGTAAGTATCACTGCAACTTAAGAATTAAAATTCTTTATAATATCATCCAATTTCTGTAAGGTGGTCCAAAATCTATGTATTTAAACACATCTATACGTGGATACCCAAAGGGTATCCGAGCTGGTAACGACCCAAGAAAACCATCAATTGAAGTTGATGACTCTTTTCAACATGTTACACACTGTGGCATACCATACAAATTAGAATCCATTGAAGTATGGGGTTGTGGTTCACCAAAAAATAGGTGCGTATGACAAATGTCTATTATTAGTGTTGTACTTGTCAATAAATGTTTTTTTTGTTAGTATCTTTCAACTATCTGATTAGTGACTATACATTTCATGAATAAAAAATAAACACACATTCACTAATATTAGTAAGTTATAATTATAATTTCATATGATAAATTTGTTTTACATTTTAGAGAAGTGCAATTGGATATAAAGAATTGGCAAATCAAAGAGGCTGAGAAGACCCGAAAATTAAAAATGACATCTAAAGAATGGTTAGATCACCCGGATAGATACTTACTTGAGTTGGCTGGTCGTCAGACATATTCAACATCATGAGTCAGTCTTAATCATAATGTTCTTTACAGTCCTCGCATAATGTTATTTTCGTATGTGTACATAAGATATTTTTTTAACTACATTTCAACTCGTGTTTTAATTTCCCAACGTACTTACAGTTACAAGAGTATTATTTTATCAGTATTAACCGGATACCAGATAAAGTTTACCATGAATAGAAATTGACCATAGTTTTCAGATAGAAATACTAAAGTAAATATTATAAATGTATTGAATTATTGGAAATTTTAAAAGAGAAAACTCCTGTATTATCTATAATATATATATATTTTTTTATCATATCAGTATATTCTGTCCGTCCTGATGGATTAATGAAAAAAATTGTCTTCTGTATGTATTGGCTCTATTTGTAGTTGAATTAAATACAGAAATCTTGAGTTCGGCCCATCCCTAATAACTAAAATAGATAATCAAATAAAATGCGAGATTTATACATATCTGTTTATTTGAAATGCAATCTTCATCTAATCAACTGTTACAATGTTAGAATTTTAATTATAACAACATAAAACAGATTTTTTTCAAGTGATAAACCTGTGATACATCTTAAAGCTCATTTGATGATCGTGTAAGCAATTTTTTTAAATTATTGACGAATTTAATTGCAAGTCTGAGGGATTTTTAATCTCAAAAATGTATTTGAAGAGCCATAAAAATCAATGATTTTTAATCTGTTCTTGTGAATTTTTTTTTGTGTGTTAAATTATTACAAAAAAAGTAAGATAATAAGAAAATACTCTTCAATTTATTTTATTTTGGGTTGTTAAACAAAAATTCCAATGTATCTTGTATCTAAAATAGAGCTATATTTTAATGATGATATAAGATCGTAATTTATTATTTTACAATTCTTTTTACTTATAATAATTTAGTCATTATCTTAGAAATTCTTATTATAATATTATATAAGTTTATAGTTATATATTTTTTTCCTGTAATAATTTTAAATGTACAATCATCATTATTATCTCATAATAATACTTTTGCAATAAAATGAAAAGAGTAAGTTTTTATTATTGTTGTTCTTGTGTCAAAAATTTGTATTTATAATGTATAGTTATTTTGTTAGATGACTTGAATCTTTTTTCTAAGGTTCTCAACTTACATTATTTTTGAACTGTCATAATTGTTTGGCACTTGTTCAACTACATAACCAAGACATGGAGTCTTTAACAGAACATAAATCAAATGTTATTTAAATATTGATTTATTGACGTATGTATTATGTATAGGTACATAATATGTAAAGTAGTTACCTTGTTGTTTGTGTCTGGTCTATGTGCAAATTGTGTTTCATTGTAGGTCTTTGTATTCGGTCTCCACGAAATGGCTGCCGTGGTGTTATGGATCAGATAAGGCGGTAGTTTTTGCTTAAGAAACAAATTAAAAAAAAATTAATCTTGGATCAAACAATTCTCTGGGCCCTGAGTACCTACTACCTACTACCTATTCTTATACTCTGGTGGCAGAAACTCACCTCGAAAAACGGCCGGCCAAACCTGGGCACGTCGGCGTACAGCTTGATTTCTTCCAGGTGGAATGTCTTACACATTGGTGATGGTTGTCTGAGTATGATTTTAAGCTTTGAAACGTTGTTCCACGCCTATGCATATTATATACGACTATACGAGTATAAAATATAAAAATATAGAAACGTAATAAATCCATCCAAATTTCCCAAAATATGTTTATAAATTTACTTCCCCTTAACAAGTGGAAATGTTTACAAACTAAGATGTACTCGAAAAATGTTTAAAAACACCCACCCCTCGTCTAACATTTTATATCCTCTCGGTCCTGTGTAACAACTAATTGTATCATCACATGCTATAGTAAATTAATACCATACGTGCAGTCGTGCAGAGGTGACTGCTGACCGGGTATAATACAATATATAATTGATCTCCATAAAAAAATTATCGTTTCTCGACTCTGTAGATCATTTTACCAGTACCTCGGTGGAAAACAGCGAGAAATAGTCTTGGGCGCCGTTCTCACAGTGCGGCTGGTTCATCAGAGTTCGGTTTTTGATGCCCACCTCCCAATTTCTCGATCCCATCGCAGGTCCTTGTAGTGTATTTGATCTCAACAGTAGCACGCTCACGCTGGCCGTGTAATAGTTTCTGAACGTTATTTCGCCCACCTATGGTCCAAAAGATATAATATTAGGTAGGTATATATATCGTAGGTTCTCATCAAATCATATATTTATCGAAATGAAACATTTTAATGCGAAATTTTTGATTGTTTACGTCTTTGATAATATTCTTAAAGTTCAAACTGCATTTGAATTATATATAAATGAACTTGTCTAATAATTTGATTTTTGATGGATAAAATACTCGTCCTTTCTCCCTAACTATAAAAGTATTAAACACCCCGTCTTTGCAGTACCAACCAGCACAACTCCAAGGGTAAAATCATTGGTGAATTCGATATTTTTCAATAATTTCCATAAATAAACTTTTTCACATATTTTATGAAATAGTTTTTAATTTACGTCATAAATATTTCACAGGGTCTGAACGCACGTCGTACTTAATGAATAATATTTTTTTTTCACAAAATATTTTACAATTTATGGATAATTATTATTTTAGATTCTGAGCTGAGCAATGGATGTATTATTGATTTTACCATAATGTGTTATTAAATTTTTTTTTTGTTTCTGCTATGTTAACGATACGTAATCTAAATAATGCTTTGATTTTCATCTTCAGTATCTGCTCCGGTAGGAAAGTGAATCTAAATTCCTAGTAATTTTCAAAAGCGCCGTAAAAACAAAACTCTAATGAAGGGAAAACGGGAATTTTTAAGAAAAATTGGTTTTAGACTAAATCATTTAGGGTTTTGGTGTACCTCTAAAAAAAATTGTATTTCATCTTATATTTAGTAAATAAAGTTTAAACTACAACGTTTTTGAAGGCTGCTTCTTAACTATTATAATATCATATAGGACATAGGTAGTTATGAATAAAAATTACTATAGAAAACCTAAAAATTGATAGATGATAAAAATGATTAATGTACTATGTACCTACTCACCTTTGAGTGTTTTTGCAACTTGAGTTCGATGTACGAACAACCGGTGAGAACTTTCTGTTTTTTATGTATGTAAATCGGCACGGGACCTTTTAAGCTGAAATCCAACGGCCTAGACATTGACGGGCAGTACGACAGAGAGTATTTCAGTTTCGGTCTATGGTGGCAAAGACCAAAAAATGAAAATAATATTAATAATAGTAGGTACCTAGTTAGGCTAGTTAGTACAATATAATATGATATATATTATATATAACACGTATGTGGGCATATGTCATTATGGGCCTTGGTCGCTATGTTTGCTACTAAAAGAACATTTATATACTATTAATACTATACTCTGATACTCATATGCCTACCTAAAAACGAATGACGGAAAAAATTAAGAATACAATACCTATCTAAATTCTAAGTACGATTTATCACATTATGATTATCGTGCACACAGAATGACTATCACAATACCTCATTGTACGGCATTCGTTGTCTTCTTCTTTCATTTTGTCGTCTGCACCGCTGCTCATGGTATCCTTTGTCAAATCGTGTAGGTGGTACTGTATAGGTGGGTGTATTTATACGGCGTGTGTATAGATAGGTATAGATAATTATATTACCGCTACGAACGTTTTATTTTTATTATTTAGAAAAGATGGTTGCTAGAAACTAGAACCCGGTCTTATCGATATAATATACACTGCGCTGCACCTGCCTCATCTTCCTCCTCTAACCTCTCTTAAACCTCATACACGGTGTAATTTAAAATAATATATCGCTACAATAATAATAATAGGTAACGCACGCGTTACCCTGGTAACCACTAACCGTTAGATTTGAAAATTTCATGAAATATTAAATAAACATAAAATGTTTGAAATCCAAATGTACCTAGTACCTACGGGCAGGGCTTGAAATCAAAATGAAAAAATGTTGATTTTAATTTAAATTCCACATATTATCAATGTTTGTTTTTTCTGATTTAAATTTAAAAGCATATACCTATTGATTATTATAATTTTATGATTCTTATATTGTTACACAATATCTATTGATTTAATATTGTATTATGATTTTTGATTAGACCTTGAACATCACTTTTCTTTTTTTCTATTTAAAATTCTGATTTATACCTTTAGTGTTATAATAGATGTCACACACAATTCGCACTGATCGCTACAACGTGATACAGCACTTACATGGTCGCAGAACAACATCATTGATGTTAGCCAGGGGGCTAGAGACCAAGAGGCAGGTTAGGTTAGAGGAGGATATAAGAGATGAAGATTTTACAAACAATATACATCGTATTGAAAATGTATGATAATGTATGACTACGCCAGACGAATACCGACTGGCAGCACACATCGTCCGAGCATCTGGGTTTGCAGGATAGCTGCGGCGGCGTACGACTCGTTTTTAATTGTGCACACTGCACAACCACTTTCTCCCGGCGAACGGAGTATGCTTGAGTGATGAGTTAGAGTGTAATTATGGATAATATTGAACATTGCACTAATGTACCTATTTTCCCTATACACTACGCTGCTCGCTGGGAACACATTATGTTTGTACGAAAAATATAAAACAATTTATAACAAACCACGTACTAGCTGTATTATCCGGCTCTTTGCTTGGGAGTTGTGAAGGTTTCGTAGAATAAATATATTATAATATTATATATGAATATATTGTATTGTATTATATTACTATATTATTTAAACGACTAAACCTTCCTTAAGGTGTCCAAATCGAAACACGGATTTTTAGTATATAAACCTCATTTATAAACTTTTCCGTTGAATGCTAAAATATTATCACTGTATAATAAGGGTGCAGTTCAGTGATATTTAAATGTTCTTTGAATACCTGATAATAAAATTGGCTTAAAAAAGAGTAATAATTGATAAAGTGACTGAAGAAAAAAGCAACTTTTTTTACATTTGCACCCATGCAATAACACATACATTTACGTGCTTTATGATTTTTAATAATTCTTGTATTTTTTTCATGAAACAAAATTCTACTCACAACATTTCCATTAATTTTTTTTTCCTCTATAGATACTCGAGTTCAGTAGCTTGCACGTTGTTGTGTTTTTTATTTTAATAAAATGTCATCTAGAGTCTAGGTATTTCATAAATTGATTACAACATGAAAAGTCCGCATTTGGGGTATTACTAACACTGTTCTATGGTTATACCGATTTTGGTGAGAGCTTTATTTTGTCTATTGTATTTGTATATGTCGCAATTTGTGACACATTTATTTATGACTGCTTCAACAACTTTATACACGGATTTATTATAATTGACAGAATTATTATGCCTTATGTGCACATAATAGAGTTGCTCATGAGTCATGACATATCCATGTGTCCATGACATTGCCTCTACTGTCAAAAAATGTAATTAAATCAAAAATACCCAACTAATATACTTATTACAAAATGTTAAAAAAAAACATAAATACATTTCTTATTAAAAACCCATTACATTTTTTATGTCTGTTAATTGTTATGATATTATTCTCTAGCTTCTTGAATATTTTTAGATTCTTTGGTTACGGTATTTATGAAAAATTTTGTTTTCAATCATTAATTGTAAAAATTAAAATATTTTAATTATTAAATATTTTTAAGTACAAAATGACAACATTTTGATGATTTTAATGAATTGTGACAACATTTTAACTTTAAATGCTTTTAAAAAATAATTTTTCATTAATATTTCTTAATTGCTATTATAACACCTTATGGGGAACCTTATATTATATTTTTAAGCTTTGTTACCCAGCGAAAAAAAAGTTCTATTGACATTAACTGTAACCTGTGTCTTCGTTCTATTTCAACAACATTATTGATCATTATTCATTGCTTAATTTGTTATAGTCAGACTACCCGCATCAATAGAAGGATATAGGGGAATTCTTACAAGTTTTGAAGGTGTTTTGTATAGGCAACCCTATTTGCAGTACAGTTTACAGTACATAATATGATGTTGAGTTTGGGCAGAAAAAAAATCCACAACCATGCTGACATAAGCACAGATATGCTGAAAAAAGTGGACAACAATTTAAAATTTCGACTATCTGAGTGCATTGACCAGAACGGTGGCCACCTTCGAGATGTCGTTTTTAGAACCAAATAAAATGAAACTTACACAGAAAAAAATAATTAAATCAATATTGCCAATACTTTTTGTGTTATGGTTTTTGGAAATCAGGAAGTAACCACGCCCCACTCTGTATTTATTTATATTTATAAATCCACTTTTCATTAGACATTGAACAGACAGAACAAATAACAATAGACCTCAAACTTAAAATCTCGCTCACAGTCTGAGACAACTGACAAGAAACATGTATATGTTACTACTAGAGTATGTTACACTAGACTACATTCCCGAGTTAATAGTTGTTTCACAGACTATATGAAAATATATTAAATTAATTAGTCTATGAAATGTGGACTGTGGAACAAAATCTAGGATAAATGATAGTGGAAATATTCAAATATGAAACGATTACAAATATGTAACTTAACAAGAATTATTTTTGCACATCATAATATTGTCACGGCTTTTGAATTTCATTCCTTTGAAAAATATGTAAGAAAAATATTGATTTCAACAAGTAGTCAATGATAGCAGGAACTGTATAAATTGTTAGCATTCTTAGAACAAAAAGCTATTGTGTAACAAAATCAAACTTACCACCCAAGACGTGTGGAATTCATTTATTATGGATAGATGATATATTTTAATATTTCTAAAAAGATGAAATTTTAGTTTAATCATTTTAAATTATATTTTTTTCTCATATTATTACAGTGTGTATTCATTATATTTAAATCTTTTGAAACCAATTAATTTCAATGTTTATTAATTTAATTTTGAACAAAATATTTGTCTATAATATTTTTTTGTGCTGATAAATTTACCAGGAAATTTATAAATAAATAAATAACTCGAAATTTAGGTAGAAAATTTATAGATAAATATAACATATAATAGATACAAATCTTACAAATAAACTGTAATTTTTTTATTTACTCTTGTGCACAAAATTATAATCAGGTACTCATTTGACTAAAAACTTCAATTTACTTAAAGATGGTTGATCTAACATTCCTCAATTTCTTGGCTAGAATCTGAAAAAAATATAATTTTTTAGCTTTAAGGTAAAAATGTTTATTTTATTCAAATAAATTAACAGAAGAAACGGGCACTGGAACTGTTCTCAGCCAGTTAGTGTTAACCAGGGCCGTATTTAGGAGGAAGCAATAGGGACATTTGCCCCAGGCGGCCAAATATTGATCTATTTAGGGGGTGGCCAGGCTCCCCGCGGTAACTCGGTGTAGTATTGTATCAATAAATATTTTTTTTTTGGAAAAAAATTGTTCTATGACCCGACCCTTGTGAACTTAACAGTGCAACGATAACGAATAAGTGCTAGCGCCTAGCATAGAATATAATTAATATTATTTTAACAGAAACACGGTCGTAGATAGACAACCATGACTTAACCATAAAAAATTATAGCTAAAAATGTGTTAAGAAAAATTTAAAAAGTGGGTCTATTTTTCGGTTGGGGGAGGGGGCGTAAAATTATGGTTGGCCCAGGCCGCAAAAATTGTAAATACGGCCCTGGTGTTAACTGCTATTTAACTGGACAATTTAAGAACCAGCCTTAAACTAATATACAATATAAATTATAAATACTTAACTAATCCATAGATTACAATATATAATACAGTAAAATTAGTTTAATAGTATAATATGAATCATTATGAATAAAAAGAATAAACTAAAAAAAAAACAATAATGTATTAAATAATTTAAGATTTTTATTCATATTTTTTTTTAGATTTAGTATAGATTAGTATAGTATTCCAGGACAATAACTATAATATTTATAATTTTTATAATATTTCCAAGCAAAATATTTTTTCTTTGTATTTACGCGAGAGTATCCTTTATAACCTATTTTTTCACCACATGACCAATTTTTTTTAATCATCACTAGGATAGGAATTAAGTGTGTGAAGTTAGCAATTTACCCAGCCATTGATAAGGAATTACACATATTAACCATGGCCGATTCTTACGATGAGTACATATTGGTGTCTATCAAGTATCAATAGAGTAAAATTTTTTTTACTTAAATAATAACATAAATTAAGATAAACAATGAAAGGAAGTTTGTAAATATCTAAAAGTCTGTACAAGAAATTGTCGAAAATGTGTTGTTTGGTGATTGTAAGCAATGCAGTATTCTAAAAATACTGATCTAACTAGTACCAGAATTAAAAAATAGTAAATGATTTTAGTTAACAGTTTTTCATTTATTTTAAAATAAAAAAATTATTATCAACGGACAATATTATAATAAAAAAAATTAAGTACTTATTATTTGTAAGATTTTATACTAAATTATTTACTCTTTCAACAAAATCTTCGAATGTTTAAAACTTACTTCATTCTCCTTAACAATGGCTTTGTTTTTCCGCTCTCGATTTATTGTTGATGTGGCTTTGACGAATGATGTAGAAGGTTTTATCCTCGTATAAGTAGGTTTCACTCCATTAGTTATTTTGTTATGTAAGATTTGATTAACCCTGTTAATTTCCCAAAGCTTTTCATTTGAAAAAGATATGTTTTTTTGCTTTTCATTTGTTGTTTTTATGTGAACATTTTTACTGTAGTCTGTTTTCATAAAAACTTTATCAATTTCAATGCATTTACTACTAACAATTTGATTATCTGTTGTATAATCGTCGATGTTTAAACTACTTTTAATTTTAATTGTGTTATTTTTACAAACACAAGATGGATTTACAACCACAGGAGAATTGATAACACTGCAAAAATTGTTATTAGTGTTTTCAAACTGTATACTTGGTTTATTTTTCAATGTATGTTTATTGAAACTAGAAATTGTTTCATCTGTAATATTTGATAGAATCATTTTTGTAGTGCATTTATTCTCAATGCTTTTACTTTGTTTAGTTGAAAATAAAGCCAAGTCTATATTTGAGTACATTGTATCCATGGTGTGTAATTGTATAAAAAAAATTACTTGCAATTTTAATATCTAATAATTCAAACTCAAAAAAATGTAAAATAATTGTATTGTGATGAATGTATTACAATACAATGAACACAAATTACAATTATTACACAACACACAACTAGGTATAAAAAGTTAAATTATCAAACTTGAACAAAATCGTGATCGCTTCACATAAATTAGCATATCATCTTTACTTATATGTAGTTTTATTACACTAAATCACGGCGTTATATCAGTTTTAAGAAATGATGTACCTATAATATGATGGATCCCATAACTACGTTGAATTTAAATAATTGTATAGATTTATATGTAGGTATACGTATACTGACGAAGACAATGTAACTTGTTCGATTGTTGTGAGTTGTATACCAGTAACCATGACAAAAGGCTCGTTGTGGTTGTTGTAACCATAGGAAATCCTTTATCCTTTGACGAATTCTAAAGTGACTGTGACAGTGTGACGGTTGATGATCAATAATCATTTAAGATAGAGATTACTTTAGATTTCGATTTATTTTTAATTGAAACATGTTTGAAATTCGAGTAAAATGGTATAATAACTGTTTCAATATTTTATGGGACTTTTACATTCTGGAAGTTTTGAATTCTGTATTTAAACCATAGACGATTTAAATCATAGACGTATAATATTATATTATACGTCTATGATTGAAACACTCTGTCAATTTATATTCTGGCAGTTTTTCTCTGGAACATCACATGCACCTGCCGTAAGGCCACAACATTGATATAGGTGTAAATGTATAATAGCGTACTGTACCAATAAAGTATTTAATATATTAAATATAGGTAGGTTGTAGCCGTTGTAGGTATTAAATATAATTATATAAAGCCGTGGGCCACAGAATACGTGAAATTTTACTGGTGGTCGGGTCACCAAAATTGATCAGCTGATTGACAAACGATTCTATTCTATGGTGATAACGATTAACACAACAGGCGATAAGGGTATTCATCAGATTCTGTTCTGTCGTTCTGTGATAAGACTGCAATGAATTGATGGGAAATATTATTGAGACAAAGAAAAACAAAAAAACAAAATTGGTTTTAGTAATAACAATTAACAAACATCAATGATTATTCCTTGTCGTCGCACACCGTATTATAACACAGGATAGATTGCTAGTTTAGACAATTGTTACTTGTTTCTGAACGATTAATGAAGCCACGAAGTACATCTTAACTCATCAATACTTGAAAATAAATAGTGCTCATTCAACTATTCAAGTACGAGATCATTTAAAGTTCAACATTTCATCGGGACGAGCGCATGGGCGTGATAAATTTGTTTGTTATGCAATGTCTGTGTCTCTTTGTGTGCTGAGATTCGAACTGACTGAAAACGATACTCGACCAGCCGAAGCGCAGCAGCAAACATTTACCAATTGGGGTAGGTACTTCCAGAGATGTATAACGGGTAGTCTTAGGTGGTTGTATACAATACTGATTACACTGCTCGTCCTAAGCCGCACAGGTTTTATTTAAAATGTTCTATGTGTACATAACTAACATAATTATGTCATTGGGGATGTAAACCCCGGTTGCTTGCTGTCTATATGGAGCATTAGATAAGTAGTATTCTTTTTGTGACGTTGAGGTAATTTGCAACTATTACGCTGCTAGGTTGACCTGTCCTCATTGATGCATGCAATTTTTTAGTTAATAAACTATTGTTAACTCTAGCTAGTGTGTTAATGTTATTTTTAGCTAGTAGTTGTTAACAAATAGTTTACAAGGATTGGATGAATAATGCGCAGATCTCTGAATAATTTAAGCTTAAATGATAATAATTTGTAAAAGTGGATCTAAAGGTTTTAACTGTTTTAAGTGTATTCTGTTATAGATAAACGAAAAATCATGTCTTGCCGAGGACAACGTAAATCCAGAGAACTAACAGTAGAGACATATGGTCGTGTTGACGGTACAGCACCCGTTGAACCATTAATTGAAGAAAACCCCAAAAAATTAGAATTTCTTAAAAAGCCAAATGTCAAAGTATTAAATTCTAAAGGATCAAAAAAAAGAAATAAAAATAAACGAAATCATGGTGAAAACATGTCAAATGCTGCAGAACAGATCAATTTTATTTCAGGAAATCCATTTGTTGAAGTTACCAAAGGTGTCCTACATGTTTATAAAGAAAAGTAAGAACTGAGATATTAATTAATTACCGTGGACTCTCGATAATTCAAAGTAATTGATTGTTTCCTTAAAAATCTCATGGTAAAATTACATGTACACAGTAGATTAAGCCTAGCTTGCATTCAGTGGTGGCATGAGTTATTGCACATACTACCACGTGAACTATCGTTATTAGAAAAATGATTAATTTCTAAAATAAACTATAGTTGGTTATCAATTATCATGCACATAATTTGTAACATAAAAATTGAGTACTAAAAAAGAAATAGTTTTTGCAACTTTTCGTGTTGACAAGTGTGTTTATTAATGATTACCTAAATCATTTACCGAACACATATTTGTTGTTCTCCAGGGGACCATACAAATAATAGCTATAATTATGTAACAAAAGGTCGACTAGGAGAACATGGTCATTTGAAGAACATTTTGAGTGCATGGAACTTATTTTTATCATGACGTGCTGTCACGTCTATCATTGAAATGATAATGCAACTCCATGAATTGGCCATTTACTGCTGTCTGCCACCACTATGTTCTCTCATGTGTTAACTACCATCAATAATATTATATAAAAACCTAATAAAATAATTAATTAGTAATAAATAATTTTAGCTTAGAGCTATAAGTAGTTGAGTACATTATTTTTGGTATGTACTTATAACAAAATTAATTTTTTTACCAACCTGCATAGGTATCTTATAAAATGTACAAAACACTACCTTATGTAAATCTATCAAGCCATCACTGCCTGCACTGTAAATAATACTGTAGTTTTATTCATCGAGTTTGTTATTTTTTTTTACAGCAAATTAACACCAGTTGACAATGCAAGTAATCGTAGTCAAATGATATGTATTTTGTCTGTTCCTTCAAATATGAACTGCCATGACTTACTTACTTTCATAGCTGCCTGCCAAGAGAACATTCATCACATACGGATAATTCGGGATGCTGCGTCTCTTAATCAATATATGACCCTTATTTCATTCAGAACCCAAGTAAGCCTAACATATTTAAGGTCATAAATGACAATTTAAATCATGTTGTTGTAATACCACAGGAAGCAACAATGGATTTCTTTCATTCGTTCAATGGTATGCCTTTCAATTCGTTGGAACCAGATTGCTGTTGTAATTTGGTTTTTGTATCCAAAATTGAAGTGATAAAAGAAGATGCACCGGGATCTAGTGCTCCTCCATCTCAACATACTGAACTTCCTGTGTGTGCTGTTTGTTTAGAGCGTATGGATGAATCTGTGGATGGTATTTTAACTATACTCTGTAATCATTCTTTTCATGGAAATTGTTTGACCAAATGGGGCGACACCAGGTAACAAATTCAATTTCATATTTGCTTTTGAATTTTAAAGTCAAAATCAATTGTATTTTCTCATTTCAGTTGTCCAGTATGTCGATATGTTCAAACGCCCGAAACAATTCCGGACAACCAATGTCAGGAATGTCACTCTTCTGAGTCATTGTGGATATGTTTGATTTGTGGTTATGTTGGATGTGGGCGTTATGTACAAGGCCACGCTTATAAGTAATTATTAGCAATCTCTAAGTAACTGCTAACTGATGTGTTAATAAAAAAATGATTTTAGTCATTATTTAGAAACATCACACTGTTATTCTATGAACTTGGGAAATAATCGTGTATGGGATTATGTTGGTGATAATTTTGTTCATCGTTTGGTCCAAAACAAAGGAGATGGGAAATTAGTAGAAGGAAGATCACCTGGAAAACTCGATGTACATTTTATATACATAATAACAATTAATCAAGACAACATAATCAAAAAATATATATTTCATTAATTTTGTAGGATACAGATCAAAAAATTGAATCCGTACAACTTGAATTTACCTACCTGTTGACCACTCAATTAGAATCGCAAAGGAAATATTTTGAAAGTCAAATGAAACTATTTGAAGAAAATACACTTATTGAAGTAAATAACTATGCATGATTATAATTTTAATTTAAAATCCATCACAATTATTGGTCTAAAATATAAATAATGGAGTTCTAGAATGGCTATTTTAACTCTTTAGAGCCTCTTCATATATTGTTGTCCAGTACATAACAATTTGAAATTCAATTAGCTATTACAAATATTGATTAAAATAAATAATATTTCAATACAGAAGTAATATTATACTATTCTGTGGCCAATTGCACAGCTGCCTTTTTCTACTCAGCTGTTCAGTTCTAATCAATAGGCAGTTGTCTTTATCAAGATTTTTCAGTAAATCAAGTTATACAATATACCTTTTCATATTAGTACCAGAGTACTTTGGTAATAACACAATCATAGTACCTGATTAAAATACTGCCAACCCTAGATAAACTACCCCAGGTGGATCTTAGTGTAAAAATCAATATTTTTTATCAGCACCTAGAGACCAGATGGGGTTTCTAATTTAATCTAAAATATTTTTCTTTATACTATAGTTAACAATACGTTATAGGTAATTAAAATAATCTATAAGTTATAGGGTCATAAGAATAGTAGTCCAAAATAACCAATAAGTACTAAAAACAGAAAAGCTACTTTGTCTTGTATAAGAATAACTGCAATTGGTAGGCTTCATGCTTTCTCGGGAGCATAATTTATTGTTTTAACAATTGCATTGCATTTTAAACATTGCAAACCATTTTTTTTTACCCAGTTGAATGTCAGAAATGGAAGCTTACAAAGAATTTTAGCATAAACAGATTTAATTAAGTTATTTGGACTGGACAAAAATAAAGTTGCTGTTTAAAGGTTTTCTTAAATGAGAGAGTATAGAATAAAAAATTAAAATAATTTCTTATGTATTGTAGCTTACATGTTTAATTCTTAATAGTAAATATCTTATTTTAATTAAATTTGATATTTTATAATTTATTTAGATAAACAATGTAAAAGCTGAGGCTAAAGCTGCACTTGAAGATAATGACAAATTACAGAAAATAGTCAGTAGTTCTTCTAAGGACAGTAACATACTAGAACGAAAAATTGAAGAAAACAAAAAGCTCTTAGAACGTGTTAACACAATCACAAAAGAAAAAAATCTTTTGGAAAAAAAAGTATTTTGATATTTTAATTTAAATAGTGAAAAATGATATAAAAATGTATTCTTTAAATGTAATTTATTTAGCCTAGATAACTATTGACATTATGTTATTGAACATAAATAAAAAAATAAAAAGGTGGGAAAGTGGGTTCCACTCTGCTGTGTGTTAGATGTCGGTTGGCTTAGTACATGACAGTGTAATGGATGTGTTAAATTTAAATTCAAAAATGATTCTGAGCAAAGTCGGTTGGTCAGCCTATAATATTAATTATATATTTCATATTACTATTAATGTATTAACTAAGTAATTAAAAAGATAAAATTAGTTTTAGTCGAAAATGTTACTGTGTATTTAAAATATAATAACGAATAATATACTTTAAAAGTTTCAAGTACAAAATAACTATAGTTGTTATTCTTTTCTTAAATATCTAATTTCGTCAAAATTTGAATTTAAAATATAACTGTTTATTAATTTTTTTGTTACAGTATGAAATACTTGTAAGGTTACACACATTTTACTTCAAATAGATTTTGCCTAAAAATCTAGTTTTTTCTTGTTTTTTTTCCTATGCTTTTGTAAACTTCTAAATATTTCATAATTTTGACCCAACGAAGTACCAACTAAATTCACTTTCCTACTAGAAAAGATATCTAAGAAGAAAATGAAGTATTTTTACTGTCCTTAAAATGTATGACAGACACAAAAAAAAACATAAGCATATCAATACATTAATTGCTCCCTCAGAATTTAAAATATAAAGATGATGATTTAATAATAACTATTATTGTTGTGGTTATTTAGGTTCATAATTTATCAATCAAACTAGACCAAACAAAAACCAAGTTGGACGAAGAATGTCAAATTAACTCAGCATTACAGACAAATCAAAATGAATGGCATATCAAATTTTCAAACTTGGAAAAAGATTTTAGCGATTACAAAACTACTAAAGATCAAGTAAACAGTTTGTGTTTAAAATTTAAATTTCTGTTATATGTTTAAAAATGAAGATATTTGTCATTTTAAAACTATTGTTGAGCTTAAGATGTTAAAAAGTAATTACTAAACATATCTTTTGAATTGTTTATTTTTTAGGAAATTGGTGAATTGAAAGAGCAAGTTCGTGATCTCATGTTTTTCTTAGAAGCTCAAAATACAATTGACAAAAGTGTAGACCGGGAAGACATTGTAAATGGTTCTGTGATAGTGGAGCAACAAAGTTCATCGGGTCAAAACAAGACTCCAAAAAACAAAAAACACAGATAAAAAAATAATCATAATTTTATATTGAATTTATATTATTATATAAAATTATATCAGTGTAATAATTTGGTTTCATTGTTTGAGGGAAATACTTGTTATTCAAATAGAATAATAGACGACTGTTGTAAATTGTAATTGACAATATTCATATCTTCTAAATGTGGTGTTGGTATTGTTTAATATGTAATTTGTACAGATAAAATATTATCATGTTCTTTGTTTTTATTTTTTAATACAGCAGCTAAAATAATACAGCATAACAAGATCATGTGCATGTTGTGTGTTGCAATATAGAACTAAACAGATAACCTCTATAAAATGTATAATTTAATGCATTATACTCAAGTAGGCATATTCAAGTGCATCTATTTTATATGTATTATAATTTGTAATATTATTTTCCATTGCACTAGTAGTGTAAGTGCCACTGCACATGCATAATATTATATCTTTCGGATTACATATGACTGTATTAAAGCAATTTCCTTGCAATTTAAACTTAAAAATTACTCTTTATTGATAAATGATTACAAATAACAATACAATGAATACAATTATTAAAATTATTATTATTATATTAAAAATTATATATTCATTATTGAGTCATTAGTCATTTAAAATATTCATATTCCTCCTATCAATTTGTTTACTTAATCATTTCTAATTTATCCTGCAATTTTAACATAACATAATTTGTGGATTTTAATTAATTTCACTTATTTTCACTGTACTTGTTTTATCGGACTTTTTTACGACCGGCTTTTGTTTGCTGATTTTAATTATTATATTACTTATGCATAAATCGTTTGTCATGTGTTGTGTGTATTGACAGGACGACTGGTTGACACAATTAGGCCGGATATATCAAAAATGAGAGAGTTATCACACATTCACACCTTAGTTGACCATTGTTCACCGTTTTCTTTATAAACATTTTACTAGTACGGGATAGGGCGTATAGGTAACTAACAAGTAAAGACCATGGCCTCTAGTATAATGGTCAAGACAATAATTCCAGCAATGATCAGGCACTAATTTAGGAATATATTATTATTATTATATAAATGATTTATCCAGCGGAGGCGGTTACCCACCTATAAATTATTATTATATATTTATATTTTATATTATAAAAATTAACATGACCACCAACGTGAGTAAAAAGATGAACCTGTATTTTTTATTGTTCATAATTTATGGAGTCTATTGATTAATAATAATTGATTATTAATTTAAAAAAATAATTTCTTTATTTTATATTGTTACGAGTGTATATAGCTTATGTGCATAATATCTATCTTTTACCTATTTATAATATATAGGAATGAACGTGTTTGTACCTATGGCTTATGGACTAGGCCACTAGTCTTATTTTTGGATGGCCACTTTAGGAATTCAGAAAGTTTTTGGGGCCATCAAAATTGGATGTTCATATTGTTTATCAAAGAAATTATAGGTGAAAAATCAAAAGATAACACGACAACTTGATTTAGATCACCATTCAACGAATAATAAAAAATAAAAATTTCTTGTCCGCCTGGCCTGATAAAGTTCGTCCACGGGCCACCACTTTGTGAACCCTGCAGACCTATAGAGTATAGGTTGGCATTGGATGGCTCATACAAGAGTTTCCTTTTGACTAACGAAAGTCAAATACCAATTTTTATGTTAATTTACATACCAATTATTTAGGGACATAGCCACATAGGGTTTCCGTTGATTAAATAGACTTTCATATAATCTATATAGTAGTATCAAGGGCGTCGCCAAGTGGGGCGTTTGATCATCCCCTCCTGAGCACTCCTGTGATCTAATACAACACAGGTGGATTGCCCATTGCCATCTCCGTTAGATCATAGTTCACAAAGTTAGGTACCTACCTACGTAACTTCTGCATCGACGGCGATTTTTCAGTGATCTGACATACCTTCATATTAAAACTGATATAAACCTTATATATAATATTGTTACTGTCTACTGTTTATATAGCACAGCGCCGTATTTTATATTTGTTCATTTTTGCATTGGCAAAGTCGGGTTGTGCAGCTATAGACTGAACTAGTATAGGTACCTACGTCATATAAATTTATAATTTTATCAATGTCTGACAAAGTAACAATAAATACAGCGAATGGATAATATTACATATATAGCCATATAGGTTAGGTGTAGGTAGATATATCAGTCATCAGGTGCTTAATATTGCAGAATTTTGCGTTGATTGCAATAAAAAAATACCATCAGCCAACCTTAATCAGAGCCATTATCTCTATAAATATAGGTTAGATTAGGTTAGGTTACCTATTGGCCTCTGTAAAATGTATGAAGAACATATTCTATGAGATGCAAATGCTCTCTCTTGCACTGCAGTGGTGTATTTACGATTTTGTCTTGTGGGTGAGGGGATAAGTATTTATATTTTATCCTGAGCCCCCCCCCCCAAGTTGCCTTAAAGCAGTGATATCTTAATAACATATTTATAAATACAAAATACATAACATAATTTCCAAGTATAATCCGTTAACCGATATAGGTAGGACTATAGCTTAATCTATATAATAATTGTTTTTGTTAAAACCAAATTACATAGTATACGAGTAGGTATATTATGTGGAATTTGAACATTATTATTACTTTATTTTATTATTTATATACATAGGTAGATCATATAATAGTTGTATTAATATGTATAAAACCAAATCCAACTTTCTGTTTTTTAGACCTTACTCATCGATGACTTCACCTGGTATAATTTTGATCTTCCGACCAGGGCAATGTCCAACTACACTATTCGTCTGTAGTGCAGGTAAGTGGTAGATCGTAGGTAAGTATAAATAGTTTTGAAAATAAATCGTTGATATAAGTATAATCGATAAGGAGCAGGAAGTGCCTTTATTGAAGAGGATGCGTTTAAGAAATATTATGTATTTTATAGTGAGACGACGTCTATCTACGGCATGAGCCTCAAGAGAAGAACCAAATAGACGAATGCGAACACCACGAAACATATCCTGTCGATTACCTTGGCGAGTTTCTGCCTCTCATTCAAATCGGCAGCTTGCGCGATCATCTCTTCGGATTCGCAGAGCATGTGACAATCAGTCGTCGAACCCTGAAATGACAATTACGCATCGTTAATATAATTATTATTTCTCACGTCGTAAATGTTTGGTTTGTCAGGATTCTGGGGGCATCCCAGGTAATCTAAGAAACATCTAAAATTGACGTGGTTGCGTGTCGTTGCTGTTACGTACGTTTATCTCGATCCCCAAGTACACTAAGTAATCGGAATGAAGAAACCAGGTAATCCCGTGCGGTAGTGGTTTGCTCACCGCGGACATGCTTTTTACGGCCATGGATAGCACCGCGGTCGTGGCTATCAGTCCCAAACTGTAAGTGTAGTAAACGACTGAGAAAAAAACCAAAACAATTTCGTTATTAACAAACGTTTTAATGACATTTCGGTATATGTGGTGAAGCGTTAAAAATATATTTCGGGAAAAATACTTATCAGTTATCAGGCATAATAAGAATAAGTAAGTAGGCGTTATAAATAAAATACTAGGAATATACCAAACAAACGGTGTGAAAAGTGCAATAAATATGATAAAATTTGTATGGCAAACTCATTTGAATTGCGATGTAGACATCAACATTTTCAATAAAACCACCTGCATAACAATTTACTATAAAAAGGGGGGTTCTCGTTTGAAAAAAGTTTGTGTCACCATACTACCATAGTCATGGGATTACTTCTTAAATGGAATATCAATCAATGTACTTACCTAAGAATTTTAAAACATAGTCTCCCCTAAGCCCACATAAAATATACTACAGTTAGAATTTGAATAAATGTAAAATTGAAGGAAAATGGGGACAAGCTTGTTTGGTGGATCATATAAAATGTGTATCAATAATAATATTATGAAATTATTTATTACAAATCACATAGGTACCTGTTTGAGTAATTGTATTTATTTTTTAAATTTAACTTATCGCAGTGTGTACGTACCAATCAGAGGAACAGTGGAAGTAACAATCGGTACTTTGGTGTACACGACCATAATGGCCAACGTAACGAACAGTGCGTTGAACAGGTTCACAAACAATTTACTTTGATTGTCGGTGTACGGGAGCCAAAATGTTAGTAAATTAAACGAAATACTGCCTGTGGAAAACACAAAATTAGTATCAACACGGTAAGACAGTTTATCCAAATACGGACTTATAAAATCACGCAAGTACAAGCTATATACATATGATTGGATTTGCAGATAGGTAGGCACTTAAAGTAAACTTCTCGTCACGGTAAATCATGGCATGTTTTCACTTCAATAAGGCACAATCACAGTTGTTACCTTTTTTTAAAAAATAGTTCATGACCCCACAAAATAGTAGTGAATTGCGTAGGTATTCATTATATCGCGTTATTTAGGTAGGCGTAAGGCTGTGTTCAAATTTCAAAATTCGAATTCAAATGAGCTATGTTTTTAGGTAGGTATACTCGTAATATAGTGAAGTATATGTAGAGGGGTTGATATTATGTTGAGTTAGTATGGTCTACTAATTCAGTCTCAATTGGTTTCATATTTATTTACCTACTCTGACCGTGAGCATCAATAATGATTAATGGATAACTGCTCATTCAAAGCTTATTATGAAAATATTATGTATTTCTCATTATTAGTTCATTAATGTGATTATATATTATTAATTTGTGTGTGCAAAAATAATGTATTATACTCTCAACACATATACTAATTATTGTGTCTGAAAAAATAAATATCCAAACATTTTCGCTTTTAAATAATAGTTTAGTTAATATTAATTAAGCAGTAAGCACCTACAGAAACTAGCAGGACGTTATATTATTGAAATAATGTAATTATAATAATAAAATCAATGACCTAGAACATTTATTATCGTGATCAATATATTATTAGTAGTATTACATATTATAGGTATTATATTCAAATACATAGTAGATATGACGTAGGTAGGTTAAAACCTATAGACAAAATTAACTCATTTTTACATACTGGATAGTATTATTTATTTATTGATATTTACATTCTGTTGATCGGTGAGAATAGACTATAATTTTGACAATATGTAGGCGTATAGAACGTTTTTGACACACGAGTATTAGTTTGGAGTATTAGTTAGGGATCTTTAAAAGTATTATGTGGGGTAATAACATAATGAGTATTTTAAATGTTCAATGTTAATAAAATACAATGCATACCTAACTATTGTATACATATAATAATATGGAATAATAGCACTAAAATCAGTAAAACCTTTAACTTTAGAGTATATTTTGACAAGTAATCTTAGGGTGGTGTCTTTAAACACGCGGCTTAAATATTGTCCACTATTAATTACTGATCATATTATATTATTATGTCACATAAAATGTTGGGTAAATGAGCACAAACCAAGTACAACTGTTATCTCTGTGCTTATTTTTAATCTACTATATATATGGTATAATTATGTGAGCACTGTGCATACACATCTACTGAAATCGTGTAAATTGAATCTTGCAATGAGAGATAAATATTGTTTTTACGAATGCGAATGGAAAAAAATAACGATTTAGCTGACTAGCTTACAGAACATTGTGCACGAATGCAGTTTATCTCTCGCAAATCACTGCTTATTTTGATAAGCACTTATTTTACAATAAGTCAAGTTAAAAAACAAAGGTCGTTAGCTGTGTTTTCTATTTATTGGAGATCGAATATTCGAATAGCTCTACAGAATTATAGTACAATATCGTTGCGAGTAGCTAGTAGGCACCCATATTATTATAGTAGGTATAAGGTGTATAGAATATTATGACATTGTGTGCATTTATATAAATATTAAATTGCTCAAGAGCTTACAAGGGGGGTGGTGAATGGATAGGATAAGTCCCCTAGATCGAGTTACTTAGTCCATCTATATAACAAATTTAGGGACGCCCTAAAAATTACACATCAACAATATTTATGGTGGGCTATATAGCTTAACATAATATTTGATCATCTCACTCCTATATGGATCGGTCGTAGTAATAACAAAATATATCCAACCATATCGTCTACTTGAAAACAAGAAACGGGTACTCACATAGCGCTGGGATATAGAGGACTGACTTATAGGGATGGACCTTCCGCCGGATGGTGATATTGTACTCGATGTCGATATACTGTTCGTCGGGACAGCAGTCATAGTATCTGATGTTTCTCTCCTTTGAAACGTTAGTAATGTCCCATTCCGAGTGTGAGCTGGCCATTTCTACCTGGAAAAAATATTGTATGGAACCATGACCTCGGTTAAGAAGCACTAGGTGTCTTTATATTATATTATATTATATATTATTTGGGTAATCTACATCATGCTATAATAATGTGATTATGAGGGCGCCCAGAGAGTTTTGGAGTTCACGTTATTTTCAATTTACTAAAATTATCCTTCCCATCTACTTTGGCTCAACCTGAATATAATACTGTAATGACTAATATAATATTAGGTACCTACCCGGGTATGTATAAATCAAAATTTGTTTATATTTTAATCAATAGATGGTTTATTTATGTACTATATTTGCTTTATATTATTCGAATAATGTTACTAGAGTATAAGACATCGATCTACACCTATGATTTCTGTACCACGTGCATGCAATTAAACATTTCTTGGTGGGGCATTAATTCATTTGTGCTAAAAAAATGAATTTGTTTTGGGTACAGTTTATTTGCACCAAAATAAAAAAGTATGTTTTTTTCAGACAGTGAATTTGCGCCAAATTTACCTCTGTATACATTTTACATTAACGACTTGGTTCAATTCATATATTTTAAAGACACTACAAAAACTAAAAAAAAAATTTAAGTAAGCAAGAATATTAAATTTAAATTCAATTAATTATTTAAAATCGTTAATCAATAATAAAGTTTTTAAAAATAATACTCGTAGGTAATACTTATTTTTCCAAACAACAATTAATAATAAGTACCTATACATTTTTTTTAAAAATCATTAACTATTATAATAATAGTAAATAGTGAACGTTTTTTATAAACTATAATGAATATATTTTTATATTATGTCTTCGACAGCCACACACTTACATATGCTGCAATTATATTTTGTCTTACAATAGTTTTGATTGGCATATTTTATTTGATGATGTGACAAATAACGATATCCGATAACAGAGTACCTACATCGTATAACATAATAAAACTGATATAAGACTGGTTTTCAGTCAGTCTACGCAATAATATACAAAACTTTAAAATTTATAGATTTATGAAAATAACTAATAAATATGAGTTACAAGTGTTACTACGTCGTGTCTTAAAAATATAAAAATTAAACTAAGTTGTTAATGAAAATGTGAACACAGGTAATTCTGAAGCAAACGAAGTGTCAGAAAAACTTCCTTTTTTATTTTGGCTCAAATGACTGTACCTAAAATAAACGAATTTTTTTGGCTCAAATGGGTAATTCCTCCTTGGTGGTCGCTTATTATAGCTGAGCCCTGTCCTCATTCTATTTAGTAGAATTGAGTCCTTTATCATTTGTCCTACATGTGCGTTGTGTAGTGTCGGAAATGCAGTGAATAGCAGTTCAAAGTCTATACCAACGAGAATTAGAAAAATACTGATTTTTAAGATCCGAAAGTGGCTGATGGTGAACTCTCCCAGGTCTACTTCAGTACTACCTGACGAGAACATGTAAACTCTCCCGGGTCTAAGCCAGTACTCCCTGATGAGACCTTATAAATCAAGGGTCCACAATACTTCAGTATTACGCAGTTGGTAAGGTCGAAAAACCTCGTCGAGTCATTAAAGTCGATAGCGTTTTAAATATTTAAATTAAAAATTGGTTGACGGCAGTAAAATATTTAAATATTTGAATTCCAAATACAGGTTAGCGGTAACAATTGATAGTAAATATTTCAAACGAGAATCACAATCTCTGTAGTGAAGCTAATTCATCGTACCTATAGGAATAACATTTAAAACAACTCAGGAGAGTTGTAAGAGAGCATAAAGTTAACCCTGGAGAGTTTATATTTTTCTTTTAGGTAAACATAATATTGACCCGGGAGAGCT